TGTGTGTGTGTGTGTGTGTGAATATAATACAAAATAGGCCTATATTGTTATAAATGTACATACATTTAAAAAAAAAATGAAGATACAGTAAATGTTGGAGTATTTACTTAGAAACGCGTCATCACAGTCTTGTGAAAGTGTCCATAGAAAAAATAATTAAATTATATTAAATTAAATTCCACCCTCCAATGTGTGTGTGTGTGTGTGTATATATATATATATACACACACACATATATATATTCCCATTAGTGAATGTACTTCACACTAAAATGTCAGAGTGAACAGCAGTCTACGGTGTTATCGCGATACTCACAGTGTGACGTGAGCTCATGGAAGGGCCAGATGAGATCACGTGAGGACGTCGAACGGAATGCTGGGAAACAAACAGTGGCATGAATAACGCTTGGCGTAAACATCCCTTACCTATGTGTGCGAGAGCTCGCGGCGCACGAGTAAACAACCCGTCGGACAAACGCAGCGACCGTCTTTCCGCAGCTTTCACAACAGTGGTCCCCTGGCGGAGCAATGTTACATGTTGCGCTGCATGAGCGGCAGGACTTTGGACCGGAGCCTGGATGGGAGTGCTGCGGGGATCGGGAAAGTTGAGCGTGTGTGTGTGATTTATCCGTCAGACGCGATGACAGGAGCGGTCTGAGGGGGGTTTTATTCCTCTGATGTTGGGAAGGAGAGCATGGCGTTCATAAGCGAACGGCAGCTGACACGGCTGCATCTCAAGTCCTTGAAGTGGTGCGACTCCACAGCAGTGTTTCCGAGATAAATCACTAGGTTATAAATCACTGGACTGCTAGTCTTCGCTATCCAGGGAAATTGTTGCTGATCGCGAAGTGGACTCAAAATCGTGGCCTTAGCGAGACTCACGCCGATTCCTTTCGGCCTCCAGAACGCGGTCTTCTCGGTAAGTCTGTTTTGGCCATTTCTGCTATTAATGTAATTGTTATTGTGCTCATTTTAACAAGGAATTAGCACGTTAAATGTTGCACCAGTGTTATTTTAGTTTGACTGATATTGTTATAGTTATAGTTTCCCGTTTTCACTTTGAGAGATTTTGTCATTTTTGATTTTGTTGTGTATTCTTTGTTGTTTTTTCTTTATTGGTTTATTTTAGTTATTTTAGTGCAAGCCTAACTAAACTAATATGAGAAATGTTGTTTTGGCAATTTGCTGAAATTAATTAAGGTGTTTTGTATATTTTAAGTTAACGTTTAGCCTATTTTGTTTCGAGTAACATTTTTTTATGGTTTTAGTTGTATCCTACTAGCAATTACAAGGGTGATATTGATGTTATACAGCAGCTCGCTAAACAGATAATTAAAATGACTAATTGACCTTTCAGACAACAATTCACCAGTTAGGCCTAGTTCCTAATTTTCTTCTCCGCCTAGGAAAATCGTTCCAAACAAAGAAAATGGTCTAGCGTTGTTGTTATCAAGAAATGTCTGAAATCAATTCCTTCTTTTTATTAAAAAGCAGATCTGGTTCAACATATGAGTGGATTGTGATTAAGATTTCCCATCCCGCTCAAAGTGTTCTGTAATCATTCTGCTCGAAATCCATTCCGGGTTTACACTCACTAGTGAGAGAAACCCCGCATTGAGCGACCCTGAAGAAAAAAAATCACAAAACGCTGACATTGAGGCTTTCACAAATCCTCTTTTATGTTTTTTTTATAGGGATGTAACGATTCAGTCAACTCACGATGCAATATGATTTCACAATACCATTTTTTTCTCACAATTTTTTTTAACAAAATTAGATTTAAGTCAAATTATGAATGAAAAGGTGTCCTTTTATTATTTCTTGGACAAAATGCAGCACATTTCTTTGTGAAATTGAAATATGTCAAATAAAACAATTGAAATTTTAAAACAAACTCCAAATCAAATAAATAAATAAGACCAAACTCTCTTCATATAAACAGAGGCTTTGCCTGTGGTCTTTCCATTCAAAATTAGAGGCAACCACTGTATTTGAATCACAGTCCAAACAAAGATGCTGCATACATGCAACATGAGCAGTTTTTAATCTAAATTAGATTGTGAAATTTTAAACAAAAACAAAATGCTCTGACTTTAGTTTTGTGAAACTGTACTACATAAAACATAAATATCACATAAATACTAATTTAAAGGGGTCATATGGTGCAAATCATCACATTTGTATCGATGTTCAACCGGCTCGCTGTGCATCGTTACATCCCTAATTTTTAAAGTTGATTGATTATTTTAGAAAAGTAAAAAGACACCCAGCACACAAAAGCATCTGATAATAGCATTGAAGTGGCTGTTAATCTTTAAGTGACATCCAGGTGGCTTTATCCAGCTTTGCTGGAATTAAACAATTAAGACCTCCAGCTCAGAGCCTGATTTAAATCAAACATAACTGCTCTTCACGCAGGATCAGGGGTTAAAGACGGGCCTCTCTGTACATTGAAATATTACCTTCGGACACTTTGCACAACCAACATAATACATTTTTAATCAGCTGACACACATGAGGAGAAAGAAACGGCTACCTTTAACGTGACAGAGGACAGTAAAGAACAATGATACATACATACTGCAGGTTCTAACAGATTTTTTTAGCCTTTCTCAGAATTACTTCTAATCCTGTTTCTTTAACCTTTTTGATAAATACATGGTGACACGTGTAAATATACAGTAAGATTTAAATTTACAAACATATGTTTACACGGTTTCTGGGCATTAAAAAATGTGATTTTAATGAAAATCAAATTTCATGTAAATTTTATGAGCTATATGTTTTATTTTGTTGGTCCAGAAGTTGCTTCTTAAAACAAAGGATTGCATCTGCTTATATTGAATTAGATCTGAGAGACTTTCTCAGGCATTAAGGCTGGTTTGGTTCTTGATATGAGCCTGTGGACCTGTAGCCTGCCATTTTGGAACATATTTGACTATTGTTTGCACCGTTTGCATCATTTATTCACTGGATGATTCATATGTTAATTTATTTCTCCTTTGAAGTTTTATGATGAAGGCTTATGATTATGAGCAGATGTTTTTAATGCAAGTTGAATGTTTTGCTCAGTGGTGTAATGTAACGAAGTAATAATACTTCGTTACAGTACTTAAGTATTTTTTGGGAGTATCTGTACCTTACTTGAGTTTTTAAATTTCAGGCAACTTTTACTCCACTACATTTCCTAATTAAAATGTATACTTTTACTCCGATACATTTCCCCGAAGCATATTCGTTACTTACTACAAAATAAAGTCAGAAGAACAGGGACTGCAGGAAAGCAGGTTTGACGAATCAGTGGTCTGGCGTCTGCAAGTTACCACAGATGATTCATTTTCCTCTCAAGTCGAGGCTCTATTACAACTCAAAATTCAAGGCATTCTAAATTGTAGATGGCAAAATGCTTCTGTATGCTTTTTATACTTGTATAATTTAATATAGTAAACTTAATCTATATCACGCAAGGAGTACCGTTTTTCTGCAGATATCAGCGTAACAAATTTAATAATCATTTTATACAAGTTCAGTAAAGTTAGCAAGTGACTTACATTTTAGACATAATATTGCTTGTTTTTGCTCAATTTTGCCAACGAAAATAGTTCCAAACAAAGATCTCATCACTGTTTTGCATCTCTGAGCAATGGCGTTTACTTATTGAATGAATCAGCGTTTTGAACGAATCGGTTGAATAAATTATTCAGTGATTCACTCATTAACACAGTCAAATGCATTGTTTCTGAATGAATCAGTCATTTGAATTAATCGGTTGAAACTAATTGACTCACTCATTAACAGTCACTTGCTGTCACCTACTGCCGGTTTTAATTCCACATTTCAACCATTTTTTTTTTCATATTTCAAATATTAGTATTCAACGTTTTATGTTAAAAACAAAACATTAGGCCTATTCATGCATCTGTAACTGCAGTTTAAATGCATCCATGTCCCCTCTGAGATACATAAACTGTGTAAATACATCTAAATGCTATTTCAGATGCAGATTCCAGAAATGTTTTCTTATGTTGTAATGAAAGACACTAAGTACAGGATGAAGTGCTTCTTATTACCCAAAAATACAAAATGGAAGAAAGAGTTAAAACTGAACACAATCTTGCTACTCAAGCCGTGTATGAACATTTATTTATTTGCTTCTTTTCCATTTTGCATTTACTTGTACTTTTACTTTCAATGCTTAAGTACATTTAAGATTTAAAAAATACTTTTCGTACTTAAGTACAATAAATATCACATACTTTAAGACTTTTACTCAAGTAATATTCTAAACAGTGACTTCAACTTCTACCAAAGTCATTTTCTGGTAAGATATCTGTACTTCTACTTGAGTATGGCTTTCAGGTACTTTATACACCACTGCTTTTTTGTGTGTACAAAATCAGTCAAAATTTAAACATGTACATAAATTAAATTGTAATTAACAGAAATTTTTTTACAAATCACAAGAGGCTTTTCAAGAAATTCAAGCAGTGTTAATGTTCCCATTGATAGTAGTCAAATTAGATCATCTGGAAATGCGTTTTCCTATTGTAAATTTAACCAAGTACTTTCTATTAAGCATAGAAGAATACACCCTACTGTAATGCAAGCTAATACTTGGTGTAATATAATCAAATGAAGTGGTAAATGTCGAGGCAGGAACTCATTACCCAGAGCCATTATGTGGTAAGATTTCTCTCTTCATTGATCAGCTTGGCCATG